AAGCGTAAGTCCAATGCAAAGTCAGTGGACTTACGCCCTTTTCACTTGTTTAACAGTGACTTGTAGACTAGACTGCGGGTCTGATTTGGCCAATCAGCTGCGAGCACTGACGTGGACCGAAACGGGCATAGCAATAAGAGCCTCGGGCCTCCCAGTCCTGGGCCCTGCTGGCCGGGCTCCCTCGGCTCGCTCCCCCGCGGTAGCCCATCCCACTTCATGGGTCGAAATCACGGATTTCGGAGGTACGGACCCTAAATGGTAGATTTCACTTATGAGAGACAGTGTGCAAAGTCCGGGCCCTGTGCGACAACGTTTACCCGGATCGCATTGCGATTTTCGTTTTGGCCCAACCTTGGCGCCAAACAGGCACGCCATCCTGTAGGCACTGCACTACGCGCACGGTAAGGCCAGAGCGAACGACTCGGGCTGAAAGTGTTACCCTATGGGTCCTACTTTGTATCAGATATGAAAGATCCGAGCTTCCGACACACGCGGCGTGTCCAGGGGCCTAAATGTGCGCCCGACGTCACTCGCCATTTACAGAAAATAATGCCGACGTAGCCCTAACTTTTTATTACATAAAAACCAAAGGCACACTTAGACCTTTCAGAATCAGTAATGTCTGCGGGGTAGCGGTGACGCTTTCACAAGAGAAAGTTTTAAAAACATGTATTTGCGCCTGTGGTGACGTCACTTAGCCTGCCCGCACTACACGCCTGTAGTGCACAGTGGCCTAGTACACAGGCGTTTTGGCCTTTTTTTGCCTTTTCTATTGAACGCGTCACCGCTACCCCGCAGACATTACTGATTCTGAGAGGTCTCAGTGTGCCCTCGGTTTTCATGTAATAAAAAGTTAGGGCTACGTCGGCATTATTTTCTGTAAATGGCGAGTGACGTCGGGCGCACGTTTAGGCCCCTGGATATGCCGCGCGTATCGGGAGCTCGGATCCTCTATATCTGATACAAAGTAGGACCCATGAGGTAACACTTTCAGCCCGAGTCGTTCGCCCTGGCCCCACCTTGCGCGCAGTGCAGCGCCTACAAGATGGTCTACCTGTTTGGCGCCAACTTTGGGCCAAAACGAAAATCGCAATGCGATCCGGGTAAACGTTGTCGCACAGGGCCCGGACTTTGCACACGGTCATTTTTAGGTCAAAACTACCATTTAGGCTCCGTACCTCGAAAACTTTTTTGGGGTGGGATGGGCTACCCCGCGGGTGTCTGGCTCTTTGGTCTGGAGGGTGGTGGGGTGGGGAGGCCCGGCCGGCAGGGCATCCCTTATTGATACGCCGCAGCTCGAATGAGCCCATTTCGAAAGTGCCATGCTGGTCTGCTGCGGGCGGCTCGATAGCATGGGGGTGCGTCTCGCCCCGCCCGCCCCGCCCCGCTCCGTTTGGACTCGGCTTGGGCTCGGCCATCATATATAGCAAGGCGGTAGATATGTTTCAGCCCCCCGGCCCTGCCGAGACACGTCATGCCGCATCAGCATTTCTCCCAATGTGGGGCGAGGTTGAATGAACGATGCCCCACCCCGCATACGGCCAGCCAGCCGTCGACAATGTTTATCTTAGAAATAGGGCCGACAGCCATAACAAAATTCTGATCAGGTCGATTTTTAGACAGTCCCCAAAAGACTGCCTCTACCAGAAGGAAAAGCCCCCCCCCCTCCACTCCTCGCTATCTACAGCGCAGAGCGGGCGCCTTGTTTTT